ACTGGCCGCAGCCATCGTGGCCGAAGCCGTAGCAAACGGCGTCGCCGCCACCGCAGTTGCCATACACGTGACAAACGCCAGCGTCCCCCTGCGACTTCCACCGCCAGAGCGTCCTCGGCACGCCGCCGACGTCGCCGCTCTCCCTCCACCACATCTACCACGTCTTCAGCCAGCAATTCCCACACACGCTCCCATGCACCTATTACTCTCCGGCCCAATCAACAGTCCACATCTCACAGTCAGATCACAAACATGTCCCAAGCGGACTACCCCAACTTTCCGGCGCTACGACGCCCTCACCCACCTTGGAAGCCACCTCCTCCACATTTCCAGCAGCTGTCGCCACAAGAACAGATAGCATGGTGGCTAGATTTCCATGCAGCCCAGTTTGCCGCAGAGAACAGACCACAGCATCTCTACATTGCCAAACTTCTTGCAGACACCGGCTTTGTGTTTGATGATTTGGCAGACTTCCGCCAACTCACCCATGTGAAATGGAATGACACCACCAATGCCTACGACACTTTCTCTTATTACTGTATCAACATCCCGAGCCTCGTCGACAAAGCCACTCGCCCACTGCCACCACCTGCCACTCGGGCCACTTCCACTGCCCCTGAAACAGTTCACATCAATGCGTGCCACACCGGCCCCTATGGCAACATTGCTGCCATTTTACAACAGGGTCGTCTCCTCCCCAGTACCCTTCATTCGAGGCCAACCCGGGCTTTTTTGCCCAAGCCACACGCATCACCCACCAACACATTCACGACAACTACGAACAGGCCCGCATTCTACACAACACATGGAAGATGGCAAAAAACGTCCACTCCATCATGGTCCATCTCCTTGCTTGGGGCCGTGGGACGAAGTTCACCAGCGGAGGTGAAGCCCAGGCCATGCATCTTTTGCGACAAGATCATGGCGCTGTTTGCCACTCCAAGGCCCGCTGCTGGGTGATTCACCCCAATAATGCCATCGTCAAGGGGCTGGCATGGTCTATAAATGCCACCCCTCCAGACCTTTGAGGTCCTACAACACACCGCCAGCTCCATCTCCACCTCCACCTCCATGCTACCTCCCAATGCCTGAGAGCAGCCTGTCCCTACGTTTCACCTCGCCACCAACTCCGGCTTGGGAAAACCGCACTCTGATGCTTTACTTGCAGGACATGTTTCAGAGCTTTGCACCGTCAGCCTATCGTATCCTTTTTTCAATTTAAACCTAATTTCTAGCGGCTCTTTTTGACATCCTGATTGATTTCTCATGTATGCTCACTTGGATTTTTCTCTAGATTTGTCAGATCAAAGGCCTTGGGCTTTGACCGTACTTGAGAGTCTTGTGCATTTTTCTTCTTTCCACCGATGCAGTTTTTCAGATTCCATTCACGTTTATGTATATCCTGCAAAATTCATGCTCAATAATTCATCTTCGTAATTCACCTGCACGCTCCGCATGTTATTTTTCCCGCCGATTATGCAGCGTTGATACCACAGCTGCGCCAATCGACGCTCCAGTCCGCCGCTTTCGCTACCTTGACACGGCCTTTTCAGATGCAGTCTCATGCAGACCAGGTTCGACTTCTCCATCGAACCACTATTGCCCTCAGCCAGCTTCATCGTCTACTCCAGCAAGCAACAGACATCCTGTCCAACTTGCACAGTTTCTATCTCGTCCACACACAACAGGTCGACCCTCATTTTCATCGACCTTTTCCGCCTCTCCCTCCAGCTCCCCTCACAGCCGTCCCCATTCCCTCCCCCACTTCCTCTTGCGACTCGGCTCCTGCTGCCCCCATCAAACATGCACCACCGAAACCTCCTCCTTCACAAGCATCCTCGGCCTCTTCTTCCTCACCACCACTGCCACAGCCCAAGCGCAAACGCCAGCCTCCACCACCCCTCAACGAAGATGCTGATTGGGATGCTTGGGACGCTGATGCAGATGTCCGCCTTGTCGAGCTCAAAACTGATGCTCGTCTTCGCCCGAACTGGAACTACGTTGCCCGTCGAGTAGGTTTTTCCATTGAGCAGTGCAAAGCACGTTGGGAAGAACTTCAAGCCCTCAACACCAACACAATGCAATCCACCCACCACCGTCACCTACACCCACTTCACCTGCCAACACACCACCGGCCTCACCGGCCCAGATGCTTCCCTCGGCAGCAGCGCTTCCACCACCGGCACCACCTTCAGCCCCAGACTTCCTACACACCTACAACACCTCCATCGCCTGCGCTGGCTGCCTCAGTCACAGCTGACGCCACGCCAGAAATCATCAGTGAGGACAGTCATCCGGAACTCGCAGCGGCTGACATCGGTAGCTATTTTGTATAGTTTCGGTCTCACCCAGCTCTCTTCGGCGCGCCATCAGCAAACAATGTCCATGCACTGCAGAACCATTGAGTACTTTGAATTCAGCTCGTTTCTCATGCACGTAACCACTTTGTACAGCTGTTTCTCGGTCTTTGCGATTTCTGAGATCTTTGGATGTTGATTACTAGCCTATCTCACCGCAGCCATTTTCCCTTTGATTGCTGTCAACCTCCTACGACTTTTGCTCAGCATGGCTTCAACCGACCTCGGACCACCTTCAACTTTGTGGTCGCCTTCTACGGGGCAATCTTCAGCTGCCGAGACATACTTCCTCCCGGACAATCCTCCTCCACACCTGACTCCTTCACTCGCACACAATCCAGAGCTTCCTCTTTTGCAAGGCCTTCTCGATTGCTAACGTGGTCAATCAGCTCCTCAACCACCCCACGATCAACAGCCCCATACCGGACAACACTCTGTTCACAGACACCGATGCCTTCCGACTGTACTTTCAATACCACGAAAGTATCACTGAGCTGGCCCGAATCACTCTACGTCTCAAACGCGCCAGCAGACTCCTTCAGTTCGTACCAGGCCCTCCGGGCCACCAGGGCAGCTATCGTATCAATCCGTCAGTGCATTTCCCACCTGACACCACAGATTTCCTAGCAGAAGAGGTACGCATTTTCCATCCACCTCCTCCTCAGAATCAACATCCTCGGCCCAATCGCCAGCGCCAGCTGCCGCCCTCCAGAATAACAGCCAGAGACCGCTCCAGATCCCGAGACATTTCTATCTCTTAGCCGCCCATTTCCACCACAGTGAGCCGCTCTGTATATAGTTTTTCAAGCCTCCATTTGCTCAGCAGTCGAAATAAAGCTCCAGTGCCGATTTCACGACTCTTCAGGTCTTTCCGGCACCAGCATTGCTCACTGACATTTCACGTGCATTTTATCCTACGCTCAATACTGCAGCCGTTTTGTTGAGACCGCCTTCTGACATCAATTTCGCCATCCATTGCTGCTATGGCTGTTTCCGATTTTGGCTTTGCTCCACCACCTACTGATACTATAGCAATGGAAGGAACTCACTTTTTCTCGGGCACAGCTCCGCCCCCTGCAGCCGCCCACTACTTACCAGGGAATCCTCTTCCCTATCTTGCGCCATGGCCACTCACCAGCCCGAGTTATTGCTGCTCTCATGGATGATCGCCACACTTCGCACCCTGGTCACAGATCTCCAGAACCATCCCATTCTCACAGATCCCATCCCTTACCCTTCTTCTTTCACAGACCAACAAGCCTACCGCCTCTACCTACAGTTCCGGAACACCCTGCGCCACCTGGTCACCATCACCGCGGACCTATGCCAGGGCATCAGCATACTCCAATTTCTGCCCGGCTCACCGGGCTCACCCGGCCACTACAGGATGGACCCACCCCCGTTTCCCACCATGCGCCACAACCAACTTCCTCTCCACACCAATCCCGCCACCGACTCGTCCGCCAACAGCTATCCCACCCCAGCATCGCCTGATCACACACCTTACTCCACGCGCTAGATCCCGCTCCCGTGACAGGCCCTCTACAACCACAACTACCACCGCCACCACATCAGCATCCCCAGCCAATACCTTTACGCCTGACCACCGACCTTTCTCCGACATCACCAATTCCCACAGCCATCGCAGCTCCCTACATCAATCTCTCTGGACCGCTACATCAACACCCTCTTCGAGTCCATCCGCAAGCACATGGCAGCTACATTCAGGCCCCGACTACACCGGCTCTTCAAGGTAGCCCGATGTTTCACCCTCGCATTGAATTTTTCAAGCTCCGGTAAAAATTACAGCCCTGCCATCACCATTCTCAGCATCTCATTTGTTTCTCTTCAGTTCTATACGACTTTCCCGCAGCCGTTTTTGCGCGCCCACGGCCCCTGATTTGGCCCCGCATCCGCGCCATGCCCATTGATCTTGACTCTCCAGATTGGGATCCCAGCCCCTCAGCGCTTGAGGACCTTCAGGGTGATCCTTACACTCTGCCTGCCATCAAAGTTGAACAACCGGATTTGCCGGAAGGCAAATCAGAGTCAATCAAAGATGAGCCCACAGAACCCACGCATCCAACCCCATTCGGGGTCCAACAAGTCACTGGCACCACCACTCCAGCCTTTTCTCCACCTCCAAAAACACCTCCATTTCCGGCACCGCCTCCTCCCAAACACTGCAACACACTCCAACCGCGCACGGCACGCTCCGCCACTGGAGCTTCCCATAAACCGCCACCTCCATCCCCTTCCACCACCACCAGCAGTGAAGACCCAGTCCTTCTTATGACCAACGTCCCTATCCTCAAGAAAGCACGCCCAGGCCAGCCACCGCTTCGCCCCCTCGCATACCAAGACCCTCCCTCCACTACTCTTGTTCCACCACCTGCTCTCGCTCCCTCTCTGCTCCACCCACGGCCCAACACGGTCCATCCGCCTCCGTTACAAACACAGGCGCGGATCCCGCGACCGCGCCACAATGGCCGCATTCTACCCTTTCACTTCTCGCATCGCATCCTCGAATACTTGGAGCCTGACGAGTCGGCTTGTCAGGCATCACGACTGCGGTGGGAGGATAGTACTGGGAGGCAGAGCCTGAGCGAGCAAGGTTGTTCGGAGAAGGGGACGGTTGAAGCAATGTTGCTGGAGGAGGATCGACAGACCCTCCCGGCGGGGTGTACATTGTGTTCAAACCACGCGCTGAGGTATGCCCAGCTGAGAGCCTCGCAGAAGTGTTCCATCATGGGTTGCTACAAGCTCGGCTATGTCACCAAGCAGGGACTACGTGTTTGTGGAGAACACGAGGAGGCCTTCCAGACGCCTCCACCACGCAGGACTTCCAGATCTAGGTCGCGGACCAGGGAGCTTCCACCGACAGGAGAAGAAGGGGAAGAGCCCGAAGAGGGTGAAGGTGATGCTGGACTTCGTCGACGAGTTCGTCCACGTGGGGTCAGCTACGACGTGGAGGAGGCGGAGAATACGCTGAAGGAGGTGAGAGCAGAAGAGGATCGGACGGCTACGCGGCGCAGGACTACGGCTTCCCCTGGGCATACACCAAAATCTTCCGTGCAACGCAACCTGGCTAGGCTTGGCATGATCAACTCGCCAGACCGGAAAGGGTTGGCTTCGATCTTGGAGGAGTTCATGGAGCAGTTGGTGGATGGGAAGACTTTGGGCTTGGAGGAAGAGGATATTCGCAAGCAGATGGCCGCACAGTATGGCATGACCCTGGTCGACCTCACCAAGCAGCTGTTCGAGCAGGCCACGGAAGAGCAACGGAAGGGGACTAAAGGGCTGACCAAGTTCCTGGCCAAGTGGCGGAAGCAGGCAGCAGCTCGAGAAAGCTCCAGCTCTGACAGCTGGTGTGTGGTCGCCCCAAATCAGTCCCCGGGGGCATCTACGGTACCTCGATGTGAAGCCACTACCCCGGAGAGTGTAAAGGAAGAGGCGCCGCGATCTCGAAAGCCTCCAGGATTGGTCACTTTAGCACCGCCTGGGATCTACGACCCCGATCGGAAGGCCGGAACCGGTGAAGACCAGCAGCCACAGTCCGAGATGGTGGGCATCGCCAAAGCAATCCAGCAGCAAACAACTGAATTGGCCTCGTTGGTGAAAGCGCAACAGGAGAGCACCATGGCTCCAGGCGGCTCAGTGAAGAGTCTGGGACGAACCTCAAAAGAACTGGTTTACCTCCTTCGCGCATGCGAGCAGTATACAGTGCAGGTTGGTGGTGGAGAGTATGGAGCCGCACTGGCTAGCGCTCTGCTGGCCGCGCAGGCAGGAGCCTCCACAAGTTGCGCAATGCAGGCTTCAGACAAAAGGTCACCACGAGGCTTGCTGTCGGACTGGCTGGGCCACACTGGGGGACGCGAGAGAAGTATGCGTTGTCAGCGGCTGACTTCACCCCGAGCACCGACGCGGAGTTGGACCAGTTCGCCATCGAGAGCCGTACCGGGAAGGTGTTGACTGAGCAGAGACCAGCGGCCCCTACCCGGTATGAAGACTGGATTAGCCGAGTCAGGAGACAAAATGACATTTGGGCTCTCGTATATGGAGCCGAATGGAAGAATGTGAAGGATCATGCCGCAAATCTCTTGAGCGAGTGGCATCTTGGTGCTCCACACCGTTGGCCGTTACAGGTGCTATGCGACGTGTGGGAAGAACTGCACTGGCGTTTCATCGAGGAGCTCAAGGAGGAGTTGCGTAAGACCAAGAAGTTGGCCGGGCGAGAATCCATGACCCTGCAGGACCTCAAGTTCTATGCGCTCATGCCAAATGAACAAGGAGAACCCCGTCTGCAGTTGCCGCGCACTTTTGACCTCAAAAACCCGGATGGGTGGTTCATGACCGAGGTTCTTCCCCGTATCGAGCGTCGACAAGAAAGGATGCTATGGAAGATGACCTGGGAAGGGGCAGGAAAAAATCGCAGCCAAGGGCAGTCTGCTGGTGGGGACGGTGGAGCAACAAAGGGGGAGAAGACCGGGTTGAGCCTCAAGAACCTCTTTGGCCCCAAGCTCACGCCGGAGGAGACCAACAAGGCGAAGGACCGGGCACCCACCAACAAGGACGGAAAGCTGTTGCGCTGGGGTTTCCTCACTCACCTGGGCTGCAACCAGACCAACTGCCAGCGGGCCCACGAGCAGCTGAGGGGCACCTTCGAGGCGTTGGATCCTTCAGTGCAGATGCAGCTTCTACGACGTGGAGGCCTCAAGAGGATGCGACCGGAGACCAGGGACAGCGTGGTGGAGAAGATCAAGGCCTTAAGGAACCAAGTCAGCCAGGACAGGACGAGTAAGGTTCAGGATGGCAAGGATCGACGACGAGCTGGCCAAGAGGGAGAGCGAGAAAACCAAGAGTCAAGCCCTGAGAAGGCAGGAGGTCATCGAGTCCATTGGGAGGCCCCGGAGGAGATGCGGAACGTGGACCTCACCGCCCAGGAGCAGGAGTTCGCGGAGTTGGTCAAAGGGCCAGATGAGAGCATCTTTCAACATGTGGAGCGCGAAGCACTACCACATCCAGGCCGCGGGGGTGAATCAGGACCATGGGAGGCGCAGGAGCTCATCCGGAAAGCTCAGCAGCTAGCGGATGGGCCTGTCCTGGGAGCTCTGAAGGAAGCCTCGGATGACCTCTATGCATGGGCGGCCACGAGGGTCGCAAATGATCCGGCTGTGGGGCTTCAGGAGCTTCTCGAGGAAATGAACCAGTTTGGCCTTGGAGAACTAGCCGCGGAGGCGGCCGCCATCTTGGACAAGCAGGATGGGGGAGAGAAAGCAGGCCATGCAGGACGGTGTCAGGTCGGTGAGTCAACGTGGGACTCCAGTGGTGTTGGCAGGGCTCTAGTCCATGTGGACGGCACAGCGTGGTCTATGTGGGACTTCGGTGAGATGGTGGAGATGACGGAGGAGCTGGCTGGGCTGCTGGGGGTCTTGGAGGCAGAACCGGAGAAAAGGCAGTGTGTTACCAAAGTGCTGGCGGCTGGATCGCTGTGGTCACGGACCTCGAGGGTACCATCCATGGAGGAGGTCGAGATCACAGCTAAACAGTTCCGTTTGGAGCAGGCCCGGTTGGCGACCGATGCAGAAGGGGTCATGGGACATCCTGAAGCCAAGGTTGCCCCAGTGGAGCATGAGCTGCGCATGTACTCCCATGACATCCTAAAAGCCCACCACGACAAGGATTATAGGGCTCTGGCAGTTTTTCCCTTGAACGATCTGGACCACCTCAGGTTGGTAGTGCTCAGAGTCGACTACAAAGGAGATCTCCTGGTCGAGACGGTCACAGGAAGCCAATGGACGGAGCAACAGCCAGACGTGTGGGCGTTGATCTGTCGCGGACACATGACGCGCTCGTTCCTCCGGATCCCGCAGAGGCCAGGAAGCTGATCCTCAAAGAGGAGGCGTACAACACCCCCAGCTTTGGCTTCCGGTATTTCTGGCACCAACGACATGATCAACCTCGGACCAGCCCTGGTATTCTGGCTTGCCGCTTGTGTAAGCCAGGGCATTTTGCTTCCTCACAAACTGCAGCGCCACCACCCGCCGCTACCGCTTCCCTTTCCAACAAACAACCCAACACTGACCCAACGCAGTGGCAATACGCCAACTTCATTCCCACCCCACCAGTCGATCAGATCCCCCTTCCAGCAGGACCATCCGACTTCACGTCACCCATTGGGGGCACACCCAGGAGCTCACGCTCCAAAACACCACCACGTTCAACCACACCGCAACGTACACGATTCAGTCAGGGCCGCTCAGCCACACAGACCGACATCCGCCGCGGCTCCCCTGTGCCACAACCACGTGCCACTGCCTCCACTCCATTTCTACCTCAACCATCCCATCCACCACCTACACAACAGCCACCAGCGTACTACGCACCGCAGATGACAGCCCCACCACCTGCCTCCCACTACACCACACCACCACCTCCCGTCCCCTATGCTCCCCCCACACCCTCAGCATCCATTCCTCCTGTTGCACATGCTTGGCCGGCACCATACCCCACACCAAAACCGGCACCGCCGTCCCTGCACATCCCCCAGCCAGCACCGCAGGCCAACGTCGGCCAACAACAAGTCTACCACCTGCCCAACCCCCAGCAACACCGAGGACATGTTCCGCTACATGCTGAGAACTATGACCCAGCAAACGATCCGTGGAACAACTACGGCGCTGATCAGCCGTAATCTCGCCCACTGATGTTCGCCACAGAGCCACCATTGACGACTACCAGTTTCCATACGAACTTTAAATCTCACTGGTTCTCGGAGCCCGTGGTCTGTGGACCCTTCACGGATATCCGCCGTCTCACCCGCACCACGAAAAAAGCCTCTGCTGCCAGGGCAACTATTCATGTCACACATACAAACACATGATGTCGTGGGAAATTTCAACCTTTTTTGTTACTTTCCACCTTTGGCAACTCTTTCTCCAACACTTCATATTAGCGTTAAAACTCTCAGACCTGTTGAGGCCAGTTTTTCGAAGTTTCTCACTATACAAGAGCTCTGCTGCATTTTCTATTCATGGCAGTTCGATTCTTCCACTTGCTTATGTTAGTTTTTTGCTCAAACAACTCACTTACCGCTATCAATTTCGACTTTGCCTGGCACTCACCATGGATGCCCAATGGCAACAATATTACTGGAATCATTACTTGATGCATCAGCAACAGCTTGTCCCGGGCTCGGACACTGCCCACTACACGCCGACGAGCGCCTACGGCCCCATGGGCCACTCCATCCGCATGCACCAACAGCATCAACCTCATCCTTACACACCACCGCCATCGACGTCACCACCAACACACACACCACCATCTCACACACCGCCGGCCACCACATCTCCGGCCTTTCCACCGCCACCACCGCCACCATTGCCAACGGCGTCACCCACGACACCCCAACCGAAGTCTTTCCAGCACAGTCCTACCCCTTCAGCTCCACCAGTACCTCCCGCCACAGTCCCGTTCCCCACTCCAACCATCCAGGATTCCTGGCAATCCACTGAGTCCTGCTGGGACGCCCACGCCGTCCACGGACATCAGCTACACCGTCACATTCAACCCACACAATGCAGACGGGTGGGGATCGCAGGCTTGCCGACTTTTGAGGTGTTCCCTTGGTTACTTGCGTACCATGGGACTGCAGATTTTACCGCCAGGACGCTCAGTCACGGCAAGTTTTGCGGGCTCATTCCCACCCGGAGTGTTGCCGAGTCCGTTTTCACCACCCATCTCCTTCAGGAGATTTGCGATAATAAGCGTCTCGATTTGGACGCTATCGCTGAGGCCCTCCACACCAAAGCCGCGCGCGCATTCCACTCTCCCCTCATCACACTGCTCACCGACCAACTGCAAGCCCACTCCCCCGCGGTTGCTGAAGGCTCCGCCATCAGAGCGCTCAAAGCCACCTCTGATGATCTCGCCCGCGCGCGGGAGAAGCTCCAGGCGCATGGATTGGAGCTCACCCCCAAGAAAGACACAAGCCGCCCCAGCGCCCCCTCCAACCCCACACCCCCTGCCCCACCTCACCAACCACCGGCGCTCCCAGACGTGCTTCAGCCGTCCTACCCCACTCTCAAGGACGACGCCCCGGAAGCATTCACCGCGCCCTCCATCCAACAATGGACGCGGTCATTTGAGCCCAAAGTCCAAGAAGCAGCCCAGGAAATCTTGCGTCTACTCCAGACTAGCAAGGTTTCCACCGACCAGCTTAAGGAGGCCGCGACCCGCTACGGCCTCCCCTTGGCTCGGGTGAACAAGCTCTCGATCAAGAGCCTCCAACACATTGTGAGTGTGGGGGCCGCCATCGCGTGCTGACTAGCCTTGAGCAGCCAAAGCCAACCGCATCAAACCACACTCCACCAACTCTCCCGTTTACACCAGGCACTTTCCATCCTCACCCACTACAGCCAATACATCGAGCGTGCCGAGGCCCTCTTTGCTGTAGGCCTCATACACATCACACTTCTCTTTTGCTACCCCTCATCCACCCAACGTTCCCAGCAATGGCGCCAACGACTTCAGCACCTCCACATCCAACCTCACACGTACCACTACCGCAATTTTCTCTCCTCCAATGCAGTTTATGTCAAACTGTATTTCAACCCCACTGCCCCACAACGCTGCTACCACCAACACGGCCACTTTTACATCGGCTCTACAGGCATTGGCATCCCGCACAGGGAACACAACCGTCGGGCAAAACTCAAACAATTACAAAACAACATTCCAATTTCAGCGGAACTCTCCCTTCGCTACTGGCATTCTCACAACAACATCCATCACTTTACGCCCATCCAACTTTCATCACATGACACCTATGACCAGGCCTGGATCCAAGAACATTACCTCATTTCCAACTGGATGCCGCCACTCAACTGGCCTTTCATCTCCCATCACCTCAAGCTCAAAGCTCACGGCTGGCAGTTCACCAAGCACCGTGCTCACTTCTACTCCCGTCTAGCCACCCACAAGCGACTTTTCCGCAAGCTCCGCAGACGGCAACATGCCATCCACGAACCACATCTCTTTACCTCCACTCGACTGCACGCCCTCGCCCTTCTCCGCAATCTCACCAAACACACTCGAGCATCCCTTGAAGCAGCCAAACAATTGCGCAGCGGCAAGCACACAGACCTGGAGGTCTACGCCATCCGACGAATGGCAGCAAACCTGGAGGAGCCCGGACGCAGCAGAGCACTCCATACCATCAACCAGGCCCTCAAGTATCGCAATCTCAGCCCGCCCAAGCCCAACATCCCCCTCACCGTACCGTTCTTGGCCCACGACCAGTTTCCCAGACACTGTGAACAGTGGCTCAAAACCACAATCCAGCAGCACAAGCACCTGGCCATCCCGCTCCACTTGCCTACTCACCGTCTGCGGGAGGCGGCCCACAAGACCCTCCGAGCTCACTTGCACAATCGCCGCACCTGGGAAGACACCTTGCACAATCCTCCGGCCGCCACTGACTTGCCATGTGCTTGCGCTCACCTCAAAACCATTCTACTTGATCAAAACACTCCCACGATCGACAATCACTACATCCTCACCCTAGAACAACTTGCATTACCGCAGCACCTCCGCATCTTCTTGGCAGCCAATATGAACAGCACCTTTTACCCCAGCAAGGCCAGATATTTCCTTGCATTCCAGACAGCATTCACCAAATGGCTACGCATTCAATCCCTCCCACCCTCACTCACACAACATCTGGAACCTTTCCTCCAGCACCAATGGAAGCTCCACATCGACCATTTGAAACAACAGCCTCGCTTCACAGCTCGTCTACTCCGCCAACTCCAGGAATTTCTGGGCGACCAAGTCGTCCTCCATCACGCTGACCACGAACTACAACAGCTGCGCATTTTCTGCCCCCGCCAATACTTCACCGGGGCGCTTGCAACTTGGCAGACACCGGAACTCTTTGCACCCATGCCAACTCTCCAATCATCCAACATCCACGACTACCTCACCCAAACCATTCCTCCCAGCCTCCGCACACGCTACAAATGGGGCTTCAGAAAAGACTTCACGATCCCATACGGCATCGTCCACCTCAAAGAGAAGAAGCACTGGAGGAAAGGTCGCACCATTATCTCATACTTCCAATCCCTCAGCGGTAACCTCCTCCGCATTACCGGCCGAGCCCTTGACATTATTCTGCAACACCTCTTTCCACAGCTTCCAGGTCAACTATCAATCCCACAACTGTGGTCCCACTTCCACTGCTACCTCAACGACACACCACCCGACATCCCCCTACATGCCACCAACGATGATCTTGTGGGCTTCTTCAACTCAGTTCCACAGCACCGCCTGATTGACGCTGTTCACTCCCTCGTTCAGCAATGGCAACGCCAGAATGACACCCACACCCTGACCGTTGACACCAAAGCCACTGGCAACCCTTTTCACCACTCCCACATCGGCCGGC